ACAGAGAGAATCAATACACAGAAAAACAACCCACATTTCCATGCAACTCAAAAGCCAAGTGATGTCAGCAATCAGTCTCCAGAGAAGCCTGAACTGTGCCAAACTCATCTGACACTCACCTCAATACCTTTACTCCTCTACCCACTGCACAGGTCATTAACTTGACTTTGAGTATTTCCCATGTGAAGGAAAAGCAGGGCCAGGAGGTGGGCAGCTGGAGCACTGCCAGAGGGAGGGATGGCCCTTTCCCAGAACAGGTGGTGATGAAAACCCTTTCTGAGCAGTTCTGCACTCCTTGGAAACAGATTAAACCAACAGCCCACAGTCGCCAGAAGACAGATGAAGCATTTTAGAATTAAATCACTTCCAGCAAACTGACTGAACTGTAAGTGGACAAAGCTAAAGGAAGATATTCATAATGAAGGTAGAATTTTGGGGTCTGCCTAACAGTGTAGAGGCACAGCAAGACTCGACTCGAAATACACTGGTCTGGTTACAATCTAGCAGAGCAGTGCCTGGGAAAGGCATGAGTCTCAGATGAGCTCAAGGCAAGCTAAAAGGAACCTTTGGAAGAGCTATGAATACCTTATTTCTCCCACCACTTTGCCTTTTTTGGTACTTTAAACAGAGTTACCTAAGTCAGGCTAGATAATTTAGCTTAAGAGCGTATGGTTTTACCTGCACTGAAAATATACTTTGAATGCTGCAGTTCATCATTACAGTTTTCTTCCTTCATACTTTTTAAATAAACATGCATTCTGGAGCACCCCCAACAGAGACAGTAAAGATATTATAGGACAAATTAAATTCCTTGAAAACGTACCAACATTATCCCAAGCTTCTAGGCATTAGGTTCCGCTATGCTCATAGCTATAACAAAGATCACATACATGGCTGGAAGGAAGTTTCAGGAAGGATATGCTTCTAGGAAATGACTTTATGCTGATCATGGGGTATGAATCTAGTGGTGAATCAAATGTACTTTGTCAAAGAGAAAAAATAAATCTCTTGGAATCAATGTGCCCCACTGTCCTACACTTTTCCATTAGGAACTATTAGGTATAAACAAATCACAGAAAAAGCAGTAAGTATATAGATGATTACTGCGTATTTCTTTTTGCCATTTTTACGGAGGTTTTCTCTCCTGATTGCATTACAAAATAACCTTTTAAAATAGCAGGAACTCTGCATTCTTGGGTTAAGCTTCTGCAAGCCTTGACCCCAAACACACACTCTTAACATAAGTAATAATGCATGGTGCTTGGTATTCACTCATTTTGTTGAATAAGAGTAAAATCAGCAAATCCCAAGTACTTCCAGCTCCACATGAAGTCACTAGGATCCTCAGGAGTAAAGGACCCCTTTGAAACTTGCATTTAAGATTACAAGGCAAGACATCCAGCTGTTGCAAGAAGAGGTTAAAGATATCAATTTGGTGACCTGAACTGCATTTCTTTACAGTCTTTATGCCTATTTTCTTAATTAAAAAAATGTATATTTTTCTAAGCAGAAACCAAGAATATTATTGAGTAACCAACACCACGATAGCTCACTGAGAGCTGGCACATGTTTATGTTAGAGCTACACTAGATTTGGATCCAAAACATGTGTTTATTTGCAAGGTCCAGCTATAGAGTATCAGCCTGTATCTCAGGAGGTCACACCAGTGAAGCTTAGAACAGCTGCTCAGACTTTCCCAGAAGCATCTCACACAGGGAGATAAAGAGCTATTCCACACACCAGATAACCTCTGATGCAATACATCAGTAGTATCTAGTACTTGTCATCACAGGCTTCTAAACCAGAGTGAAACCAAGCACCTTGTGTATTTAACACATATATAACATAATGATTCTTATTAGCAAGAATTCCTCCCCAAAAGACTACTTTATTGATTTCAGAGCTATGACTGAGAACAAAGGTTTCATCAAATGGTTTGTAGAAGAGGTTTAGAAAAGAATTCACCAAACATTTATTTGTTCTGCAGGGTCCTGTTATCCTAGAGAGTTGGGAAGTTTGACTTCAGGAGTAAGCTTCCCCATCCTAAGTTAGAGAAATGTTCCCTTGAGTGGGCTTTAGGACTCCAGATCTGCTGAGTCATATGGACAGGGAATTCTCTTGAGCACTCACCTATTTCTGTGCCCACCAGGACAATCATTAGTGCTCAAGACCTATAAATGTCTTTGTGTTATTTCCCTTACCTTGACAAAAAGAATGTTTCCCTATGAAAATGCCTTGCCCAGCTGTAGATGCAAGTCCTGCTACTAAAGCCTCTCATACTCCTAGTGGCAGGCAGGAATAGGGCAGCATGGCACGGGGAACCCACCACAGGTACCTCACTTTGTAGAGGGACACATGGAAGAATTCCCAGGGAAATAGCTCCTGTTCCCAGTGCAAGAAGGAGCAAGTCATGTTGCTACCCAAAAACTGTTTCTTTTCCATTTGATGCATTTGTAGATAGCACAACAGAGAGGCCCAAAATAACATGTGTTCTTTTCAAAATGCAAGCAACACTGTCTTCCTCTCAGCATCTGTCAAAGACAGAGCAGTGCACAGTTGCACAGCTAAATGCTGTCACCTAATGCAAATCACTGTGAATGGAGAATAAAATTGACAAAAAGAGAAAAGGTTTTGGTTCCTTTTAGTGACGTTTAACCTCCCTAAGTTCATGAACTCAGTTATCTACCATTAGCCACTTGTAAAAATATTAGCTTCTGGTTTTCCTGTTTCTCCTGCTAAAAGGATTAATGGAACGTTCAGGCTTTCTTTTATTCTAATGCTCTTAAAACAACTGCTAGAAAAGTCATAATGCAGTCCAAATCAAAAACAAAACCAGCACAATGAAACATTTGATTCAGACCCATTTTTGCACTAATTACTCAGTTATTTTCCACCCAATCTTTCACAAAACCCAAGGAGACAGAAGTACAGGAGGGACCTATTTGCAAAAAAATCCCAAAGTAGAATCTTTGCTCTCTGGTGAATCTGTTGCCTGTCTTAAAGTGTCCATACACAAGAAGTACTTATTCTAAGTAGCTACAGAGAAATGCAGTTCTTATTCAAACACTAACTGCTGATTGTAAACCAGTGCTCAGAGCATTTATTTATTTCAAGTCTGTTATGCACTGCATCTCCAACCACATTTCCATTTTTGATTAGTCCAACAGCTGTGTTTCCCTGGAACAAGAGCAGATCATAAAACCAGGATGAAGCACTACAGAACACAAGATAAAGGGAAAAGTGCCAGACACTCCATAGTGCTCTTCAACTGTTTGCTATTGCTGCTGATTTTACTTGAGGAGCAACCATATACTGGCAACAGGAGGCAGTGTAAAACTCTAACAATACGTAGTCCCTGCTTCATCTGTTAAATTCAACTCCTTGCAAGCTAGGGAGAACATATCTGACAAATGGAACTGGTCATTATAGGTGATTACTTTTAAAATTCTGCCTTTAATTATACCAGCATATCCACACAGAAGTCAGTGAAGTTGCAGACCAAAGATAATATGATATCTTCTGTTAAGTGACAAACACCCACAAACATACCTACAGTGGAAAGGTGGAGAAGAATATTGTCCCACACCCCTAGAGCATCAGGTCTTGAAGACCTGGCTATGAAGCCAGAAGCAATGGCCATCTCTCTCCCCACAACAGCTCTCACTTGTTTTTCACCTCTGCCATTTTAATTTTAGGTAAAAAATGTCTAAATCCTCACAGATTTGCAAACAGATGTGCTGGAGGAAGTGGTTAAAGGAACATTTCACAATTCTCATCCAGCTAGAGAGCTAACTAACAAAGGTAATGCCAAGCCACAGCTTCTTTACGGAACCACCCTGGGTAGGAAGCCAGGAGCACTCTGTACTTAGTTACTGAGTTGCTGCTGCATTCCTCAGGAGCTTTCCAGAAATCCCCCAGGAGCCACTGAACCTAGTACTTTTTCCTCATTACAAAGCTGAAACAACAACTTCCTTCTGCAGAACTACTTAGCAAAGACCAAGAGTCCTGACCTGAACTGGTCAGGATCACTCCTTCATACATCCCCTGCAACAGTTTTACAGGAATATTATTTATTTCAATATAGGTTCAGCTTTGTATGTTGCTGATATCAGTGGTATATCTAGAAGTTACTGTCTTACTGCTCTAAAGTGGGAGGTTTATTCATTTTATTCTTTGCAAGAAAGGGACGATATATTAGTGAAAATAAACAAATAGATGAGCATTTTCAAATAATATGCATTTCTGAGTTCTATTTAAATATCTCAGAGCACAGTTCTTTTTATTTCTAGAATTCAGACTAAGTCTGTCACTATTACTAATAAAATATTGTTCAAAATGTTCAATGAATGGTTTATTTCATTGCTTCATATGCAGCACCACTTATCATTGAAACAATTAGTTCTTTATGAAAACTAGGCCTATGGGTAAAGAAATTGCCATAAATACTGTCATCAGACTTAGGGAAAATAGTAGGAAACAAATGTCGAACAGAACAGCAAACTGTTTTGTATAGGTGGTATATAACAACCAAAAGAATGACAAGGAAATAGGACTTGTGGAGTTGTTTACCTTACTTCACTGTGCTTGGATTATCTGTCCTTGAACACTGCTCACTGACCAAGTGTAACTTCAACTGGACTATTGACACTATCTCAGATGCTTCAAAAGAAATCTGGTACTGAGTTATAGAAGTGTTATCAATTCCACACATTATCTCTTGGAAGTAATTTTTCACATGTTGTTTAAGAGTGTACTGCATTTGAGACATCCTAAATAAGAATTATTTGGTTTAAATAAATTTTGAAACCGCAAGTATGTATACTAGTTCTATTTACTGAGTGGACTTTCCAGTGTTGTTTAGGACTATCTCCAGGCTGGACATTAAAGATGGGAAGAGGAATCAGGGTATCGGGGTCATGATCTTACCCATATTCCCACAGTTTGGATGAGTTCAGACACAAGGTTCTGTTTTTATTTTCTGTCTATGTGTAAATACATAAAACAGCTCAGTCATACCTAGGTGTGCTGGTCCTTTCAGGGTAATTCTCACACTGCGACTCCCATGTGGTACAGCAATCACAGTCTCTTCCCCTAGAAAAGTTAAACAACTGGTTTAGAAGTAATCTTTTATCAGGGAATTTGTACATCACATAACTAGACTGAAAACTGTCAAACATGTCCAAGAAAATATTTACCAGGTTTCACAATTTTTCTATTAAAAATAATGCTATCTTATTAAGTTCAATATACTAAGTCCGCTATGCTATGCAACTCTTAAGATCTATGAATGGACCTGTAAATCTCTCTTGCTATTGGAAAATGATTTGCTATTAACAATAACAATTGAAATGTCAGTAGTGCATTAGGAACATATTCACACTCTGCTGTCCTAGTTTTATGTCCTAATCACTGAATTGACATAAGGAATCTGCTAAGCAGTGCTTCCCCCTTACAGAAATCTGCAGCTGTTCAGTCTCATTTTGCCCACACCTCATTTCCTGCTGCAGGTCACAACTTTAATAAGTGGCAGGACTTACAGGAAATAAATCAACTACTTAACACTAACACTTAACCAATTACAGACCAGTTAAGAGCAAATATATAATAGCTATAAGGTATATGTTATAACAGAGCGTCTGCATCTAACTTACCATATAAGATCATTCCTTCCAGTAAGAGCCTCAATTTAAAATTAACTATAAACCAAACCAGCCCTGAACAGGACATGTCAATACAAAACAGCTTTTGGCTGCCCGAAAGGCCTCTTCATATATAAATGTACGACACACTTACTTCAGTGCAATTTACAGAGGCAGAAAGTTATTACTTTCCATTTCAAATGTAGGAAATTTGTGATTTGCCCAAGCAAACTGAGTTAACAGTCAAATCAATAGACTAGAGTTCCTCACGCCAACAATAGCAGTGCTCTGAGAAAAGGGTATGCACAGGGATATCCACAAAAGGGAGAGAAGTGTCCAAGGTGCCAAGTATCAATGTGCTGCCAGCCATTTCCATCGTGACCCAACTGCACATCTTCTGCAAGGCAGACCCTGCAAACATGTGCCCATTGCAGGTACACCCCACAGAAGATGCTCAGCTCAGTGATGGCACTAACACATATCCAGGAGATGGTGCAGAGCAAGTTCATTTTTGCAAATCCAAAAAGCAATATGAGTTGAAGGGCAGTGATGCAGTGGCTCCAGAATTACTCATACAATATTTAGAGGAAGCATAGTTGAGTTTAGCTTTAACTCAAAAATAGTTGAAGAATGTTTCTTTCCACTTTAAACCAGACCCCTTTATAGTAGATGCTAAATTATCAGCTTCTGGTTTACATCCCTTTAGCATAAGTATGAAATCCTGCCAAATGTTCAGGATACTTCAAGCAAATACTGCAATTATTTTTTCTGAAATAAACACCTTCTTATGTTACAGTTTTTATATCACCAATTTCTAGGAAGGACATTTAAATATAACAATTTATTTTGGATGCAATAAAATAGGAGCTTTATTAATTTCATACTTGGGTATTCCACCAGAGTGAAAAAATACTAGAGTAAGAACAATAACACAGCGAAGGAGTCCTGGAAAAAAGATTAACTACTGAACCACTTAATATCTTTTTGCATCTTGGTTTTTCATCAGACGAATTTCTAAAGATAGCCAGAAGGTAGTAGGTGTGTATATCTTTAAAGTAAGGAAATAACTACTGACTTTACATGTGCTCTACAGTATTTGAGAGAAAGCAGGTTTGAGGGGCCCATCTGTCCCTACTTGGGCAGGAATTGTATCCCATCTTGACAACCAAGGAGCAGCCACAGCACAAAACCTCGAGTAAGAGTCTGATTATGATGGAATACATGCAACTGCTGTTCTGAAGTGGAACCAAGGGCACTCCACACTGCACAGACATGGCCCAGATTTGCAGATGTGCAGACATGTGTAGGACTACTACTCTTGAGAACAACCAGGGTCGTCCTGCTGTGCTTCCTGCACCTCCTTACAGCAAACTTCACTCGCCTCGGCAGACCCTGTTGATCCCTTTTCAGGATGCTTCAAATTCCTTTAGCAGTACTACAGACATTCCACCCTCACCAAAGCACTCTCTGATATGGTCCAGAAGTCTCATGGGGGTGCTAAATTTGGTGTTTCTCTGCAGCAGAGACAATATTACCAGTATTTTATTTGCATTAGAGGAGATGACTAAGTTCACCACCACAGCAACATTCAACCTCTGCAGACCCACAGACCTGTCAAAGAAGTCTAACAGCAGGAGATTCTCGTAACCTGACTGAGATAATTATGATCCAGGGCAGTCTTTCCATGAGATGAAGTAAATTATAGGAAAAACTAAATGTGAGATTTTTGGAATTCTGCACAGAGATGAGGATTTGGAAGAACATGGGACAGAACTGATCCTAAGGGACTCCTCCTCCTCCTGAGGACAGCTTTAACTTCCTATGAAACAGTAGTTATGCTTATCCAGGTCTAGCTCCAAAATTGTATGTTCCAATGGTACCTGGTTTTCAGTCGAAGCATGTAATTCATATTCTTAAAGAAACACAAGACTGCAGCAAACCCATTTAAAAATGCTTATGCTGTACATTTCCCATTAAATCAGTAGGACCCACACTGTAAAAAGCAGCAAACTCTTACAAAAATATAAGGGGAAATTGCTGCCCTGAAATTTATACTGTTTGCTCATCTTTTTCTCCCCTTATACTATGTCTGTCTCCTTGAAAGTTCACCTTTGTCTAAGGCTGAAAACAAATAAACCCCAAATCATCTGGAACATGCAGAAACACTAGACTCTAAAATCTAAACTCAGATTAAGGCTCACCTTAAAAACGGAGAAACAGGTGAGATATTGTGTCTCTATTCTAACACTGCTCCCACAGTAGGGATTCCCGACAGCATGTGAGTCATCTTTTTCCAGCACCTGCTTGAAATGGGCTTTCTGCTTCTACCCAGGGACTCTCTCAGCAAATGTGTGTGCACAGACTACACACAGCACTTGCTGATTAAGCTCCTGGATTGCTTTTACTTTAGATGGCAAGGTTTGATCCTGTTTCTATGGTGTTAATGTGGATTTAGATTTTGGATCTCAATGAGAGCAAGATCAGACTCCCTGCTATGGTAAGACTGGGAGCTAATCCCCAGGATCAAAATAAAGGAGGCACATTCCTAGACTCAATCCAATTCAGCAGGTTTTATTTATTTTTCCATGTGGGCCATGGTGGACCCATTTACTGTTTCACATATGGGCCAGTTGGGATTTTTCCCCTCTCTCCTCTTGCAGCAGGCCAGAGAGTTTATTTCAGGTCTATAAAAACCATTTCTTTCCATGTATTTCCTCAGCACTTATCTGCTAGTTCTCTGGTTCTGATTGAAGACCTCTGTGCTCTCAAAATACATAGAATGATAGTCGGGGAACAACTACCAGCACTCAGGAACTAAAAAGCCCAAAATGTTTGGAATCATATTGCAGAGGCTTCCAGCACCCACTGTAACATCAGGCAGAATTTCAGAACACATTGCTGCTGGGGTATGTGCTGACCTGCCTAATGATAAGAATCTGTGCAAAGTCAAATACATGTTCTTTAAGAGACACCTGACCTAGATGTGCTACTGAAAGTAGCAGTAATATATCTTAACCCTAAAAGTCACATTGCAAAATGTGTATGGGCACATCCTTTCTGTCTTCTGTGTCCTTTCCTCTTCAGTCTCATATTCTCCCACTTCTCAGTACCTCAATCCCTCTGTGCACTGGCCTTATGACTCAAGGCTACCTCTTCACCTGAGAGTGCCACTTCTTTGCATTGCTGAGCAAGCATTTCTCAGGTGTGATAACCTGCTTATTGCCCCCACTCAGTCACATACTTATTTCATCTGGAAACCTCTTCTAAAATTTGTATGGGCTGGAGAAACTGCACAAAGACACACAGTAAGCAGCTCATCAAGAGAAAGGGTCTCAAGGAAATGCAGTGCAAAATAAGTAATGAAATGGCCAGTATTCTTATACATAAATTTCTCCAAGTAAGACAAGTAAAGACCAGGAAAGTAAAGAAGGAGGCTTCATACTTGGAACAGCCTGAAGTTAACCAAACTAAAGGGACATGTAGACTGAAATAGTTGGTGCTGAAGTCTCAGCATCCACACTATACACACTGCAGGTGCTTCACTGGGACTAAGTCTAGTCTGGTCCCATGGACTGTATGTTCAGAAGCTTTTGGAGAACATCAGGTGTTTTTCTAGGACACATCTTCTGGTTGACCTTCACCAAAAAAAAATCAATTTATGCTATCCAAGACCATTCCACAAGGTGAACTGATGAGCAGTATTTTAAGACCATGATGAAATTTGCTTTAGAAAATATACTCCTTATCCAAAAGGAGATGCTAATGTATTGGCATTCGATCCCTACACACACAGTTTTCCTGCCAAGCCAGTCCCAATTCCCTCTCCTGGCTCTACATATAGTTGATTTTTCTCCTTCCTCTCCAAGTGTTTTTTACTCTATCTCCCACCCCAGATTCCTTATCTAATCTCAGTCTTCCTCTCTTCCTCTTTTCCCTTGACTCAATGTATCTGTACACTCAGTCCTACAACCTCCACCCACCTTCTCATATCTGTCTTTCCTTCACTGTATGAACTCATGTCCAATTTTTTTGTCCAGCTAGTCTCTTCTTGTCTT